TTCCTGTAAAGCCACGAAACATACATCATGCAATCTGATAAGTTTTCTTTAATCTCCCTCCTTTTAGCAGCTTTCTCTGCTCCCCTCATGTTCCATGAAAATCAGATTAATCATGAGTTTATAGGGTGGTGTCCTCCACTGGAGCATACTCCATTACCAACATCATGTACATTAAAGGAGCTATCTTGATCCTCAGCCTCTTCTATTATAATTCTCTGTCTTCTGGAGCTGGCTTGATCAGAAAAGTACCCCTTGTCTAGGGGCAATCTCTCATGAACCAGACCCATTTGATCATCCAATGTATCCCCTCTTCCTTTCCTTATGTCATAATCATGCTGAACGAAGAAGGAGGAATTCAAAGAAGGGGCATACAGAGCAAAACATTCCCCCAGATTCTCTTTAGGTGTCCCACACCCCTCTCTTAGGATTCCTGCAATAGGTTCATTGGGCATTAACACAACAGCATTAGCATCCTCCCAGACAGCCAGATCCACTCCTAGATTATAATCATCCTTGTTAATGAAAGGATCAGGGGAGGGAGAGGGCAGTGTCTCTAGACTGACCCCAACAACATTTGGAGTATCCAATGTGTTCTGTACCAAAGGGCTGGACCCTATTTTTTCCAACACCTTGCTCACCCCCATACCATCATTCTGCAATCCCACCCTATGCTGAGTTTCCCTCTCCATAGAAGTTGGGGCATCTCCTGTTTGTTGACTCTTAGCCATATCCTCTCCAATTTGTTGTTGAACACAGTCACCAAGGTTTACTTGGGTAGACAGATTTTGGTCTATTCCATTAAGCCCATCCACCAATTCATTCTCCTCATTCAATGCTGCAATGTTATTTCCTTTTTCTGGATTCTGTTTAGATTGTTGCCCCTTCTCCTGTGCATTACTCCCATCAACATCCTCATTTAACTCATTCAAGGCCTCAAAGTTATTCCCCACACTTGGACCTTGGAAAACAATTCTAGGTCTATATTCTCTCTTAGGAATTCCTTTCTGCACATCCCCAGCAATAGCTTTCCCTTTCCTGTTTTTCCACCCATCATCATGGCTCAAGCCATTCATTTTATCAGTTTTCTGCTCAACAGTGACCTCCACCCCTTCCTTCTTCTTTTTGCGGCACAAGGATTCATCATGACCCTGTTTCAGACAAGTAGGGCAATATTTGAAATCCTTCTCATATACAATCCTTTGCCATCGAGCGCTCATGCCCCCCATATCAAGCCAGAACCTCTTAGGATTACTAGCCAGTAAATTCATTTCCACACATGCCCTTGCCACTCCAGGCCTAGAAAGATTTAAGGTGGCATTATCAATCACTAAAATCTTACCAATGGGGCTTAATATATCTTTCAGGCTTTCTCTATTAAAAAGATGGATAGGTAGACCAGGTAGAGACACCCAAACTGGGACTAAAGGAGGTTCAATTCCAGGGAAAAACTCTGGAAACCATTTAAAGAAACGGAATAGAAATCCTTCAATGTATGTAGAATCCTTAAGCGTGATAGTCTTCGTAGCTGGAAAATCTAATGAGAATATGCCTTGGGTCTAAGGCGCCTACCGTAAAATCCCCTTTCAACAGCCACCTAGAATTTATAAACTCCTTCACAACACCAAGAGATGGCTTACCATAGGCACATTTGCCTATCAACGTGAGGTTGAAACCCTTCGAGAGCTCTTGAGTTTCATCTGGAGACCAGTACATCTCTGGCTCCCCATTATTGAAAACAACCCTTTTGGCAGGCTTAGACTGAGTTGCAGAGATAAAAGGAACCGAAGTGACCGTATCTGGTGGTATCTAAGCTTGTGGGCTGTGTTGGGTAGTCGAAGCGACCAGCGGAAACTAGCTTCCCTGCCCAGGCAACTGGGTTTGTAATGCTGGTAAATCACGATTTATCAGAGAAACATGAGGGAACGGAATGCTAGAGGGAACATTAGGGATTTGGGATCCCATTCCAGGCGAGGGTATTTGAATATTTGCAGAGGTGCTCACGGTCGAAGGAAAAATCGATGGAGAGGTAATATTCGAGCATGACTAGTTATGGTACAAAGAAGGATGAAGAGGCATATGGAAGGTTTGAAACAGCTCACCGGATTCACAGAGGAGGGTGGAATAATAGCTGAAGCAGACGGGGAAGGGAGAAAGATTTCCCTGTTTGTGGGTTTCTTGAACAGAGAAGCGAAGTTTTTGGCTATGTTTGGCGGTTTGGGAGGGAAATTCAAAGAATTTGTTGGGGTTGAAATGGGAACCCGAGAATCATCAGGCGGCTTAGGAGGAATTTTGCACAAATTCTGGGCAGAATCCATAATAAATGCACAAATCTGTCAAAATGAAGAAGCAACAGTGGCAAAATTAGGGTAGAGAGAGGTCCTATTATATAAAAAAATTCAAAATACCGAAATATTTGTATTTAAAAATTATTTTTTAGTATTTTAAGATAAAAAGGATAGTTAAATTTTTATATTCAAAATTCCACAAACATCTTTCCCAAAAAAATTGTTATTAGTATTGTATAAGAAATCCATACATTTGAAAAAGAATTTATTTTTTTTCATACAAATAAGTGTTTTCTATTGAAGTGTCCTGTTTTTTTTTTTTTAAGTTTTTCATTTTTAGATTCTTGTTTTCGAGTAGATATATTTGTGTTAATATGTATTTGCAAATAAAAGAATATAATATCATAATAAATACCTTTGCGAAAATTACACTGAATAAATTTTTAAATTTTTAAAAAACACCATCTAGCAATGTGAAAGCAAACAACTCATTTTATTTCCACAACAAAATCTGATTTTTTTTACCCTAAAAAATAAAATGAAGTTGTAAGTTAACAAAAAAATTTCAATAGAAAAAACCAATAAATTCAACGTACTTGACTGACAACAACCTCAAAGTTAAAAAGTCGTATTAATTTTTTTGTAAGAGATTAAGAACTCGGGAGCAAATACAGATCTTAGGACCCACACAAAGAGATTTTTGGTTGGACTTGAGTATGTATAGGAGGAGAGAGAGGGGAAGAGAGAGAGGGGAAGGGAGAGAGAGAGAGAGAGAAACAAGAGTCGGCACTTTAACATTAGGATAATTGGATTTCATTGCGTATCGGTAAGATAAACTAAGGCCACTTGAACAGAAAACTATGTTCAGACAACCATTACAAGTGGGCATTGTTTGTTATGGCCACAACAATCTCTTCTGACAGTAGTGTTTAATCTTGCTTAATGGGCAACATAATGGACTTGAGTTACACTATAGTGGTTGATCTTTGATTTTGGGGCCCCTAAAAATCTTTAAAAATTGGGAGTTGTAGGCAACCACCTAAGTGGCCTAAGCTTACGGCTGGCCATATATATGTATGGTGCCTATTTAATATATATTCACTAGTATCTAATGAGTATCGTTTCAGATATAGTATTCAATACAAACAATTGACCAAAACAAAATATCAGTGTTGCATAGCTAGTTTCCCTTGAGGAGGTTATATGATATATCAAATCTTGTAATTCTCCATGACTGCAACCAAAATATTTATAGTTTTTTGCTGTTATGCATTAAGATGATTTTTCAGTAGAACAAAAGTTTTAATGCCAATGATAAACATTTTTGTAGGGAATGACCAGTACAATGGTGGAATCCTCAACTATCCTAGTAAATTCATGGATTCATAGGATTCAAAGTGAGGGTGGAGTTGCAGACATAGAAATTTATGAGGATATAAGAAGACTTTCAGGGGAAATTATTTCAAGGGCTTGTTTTGGCAGCAATTATTCCAAAGGGGAAGAGATATTCTCAAAACTTAGAGCTCTTCAAGCACTCGTGTCTGACAAAAGCTTGCTCTCTGCCATCCCCGGAATGAGGTCTGAACTGTTCCTACTTTTTGGACATAATATTTTTTTGTAGACTCAAATCACAATCCATAATCAATATAGGCATGGGACTAAATTTGAACTGATCTGCAGATGTCTTCCAACTAAGCGTAATCGAAAAATACAGAGTTTGGGAAAAGAATTCGAGAAATGCTTCTCAAGATAGTAAATGATAGATTAACAGATCATACCGCAGAGGCAGACTTGTTACAAATGATACTTGAAGGAGCAAAAAATGGTGACCTTGATAACAATGAAATTGACAATTTCATTGTTGACAACTGCAAGAACATATACTTGGCTGGGTATGAGACTTCTTCTACCTCTGCAGTGTGGACCCTGATGTTGTTGGCTTTGAATCCAGAATGGCAGACTCGTGTCGTGCTGAAATATCTGAAGTTTGTGGCAAGCAATTGCCCAATGCTGCTATTCTTCCAAAGATGAAAACGGTATGGTTCTCAATTAACATAATCTTCTCGGATATACATAACATCATTTTACTTTGTAACCTTTCTTAAAATTGATATGATCAGCTGACAATGGTGATTAATGAGTCGATGAGACTATACCCTACCGCGCCAATTATCACAAGGGAGGCATTGCAAGAAATGAAATTTGGTGGCCTAACTATTCCAAAAGGAGTTACCATTTGGACTTTTTTGCCAATGTTGCATCAAGACCCTGAAATATGGGGACCTGATGCTAACAAGTTCAACCCTGAGAGGTTTGCCAATGGAGTCACTGCAGCATGCAAGCTTCCACAGGTGTTCATGCCGTTTGGTTTTGGTCCTCGCTTGTGTTTGGGGATGCCATTTGCATTGCAGAACTCAAAATTCTGCTAACTCTTCTTATATCCAACTTCTCGTTCTCTATCTCACCCACATACCAACACTCCCCGGTGTTCACGCTAGTGTTAGAGCCTGAACAAGGAATGAATCTCCTCGTAAAGAGAGTATGATGAGCTATGGCTTAGTTGGAAAACAAACATATTTTTAGCATTTATATTCTACTATTAAGTTTTTTTTTTTAATTTAATGTGTAGTAGGGTTTGGGTTGTGTATATGAGGCACGGGTACGAATATTGAATACGGGTACGATACGAAACAGATACGGCGATACGACAAAGTTTTAAGAAGTAGGATACGGATACGATCATGATACGACTATAATAAAATATTTTTATTATTTTTAACCAACTTAACACTTATATATTTTAGTAGTTCTTTAACATATAATAAGAATAATTAGTAATTTTTTTTAGTTTCAAGAAAATATATATTCTATCATTATGGTATATTCACAAAGTGATGTGACTAATTAAACGAATCAAAACTAATATTTACCTAGATTGAGAAATAATTTTTGTCAAGATCATAATGTAATAACTTTACTATATGGTCTTTTGACATGCAATTGTAGATAATATTTAAAAAACACTCATGTGTCTTTGAAGTAATATAAATTTTTGTTAATGTATTGTATGATATGTGAATTCGAAAAGAGATATTAAAAGTTCAACTAAAAAATTATATATATTGGTCTACTATAAAAGTATTCGTGAAATATCCTAATATTTAATTTTTGGAATACGTAGAAAGTGTATCCAATACGTATCTGATGAGTATCGTATCTGATACAGTATTTGATACAGGTATGTCAACCTCGACGAAGTATCCGTACTTCATAGGTTGTATATCTTAGTGGTATGCTATTGGAATAAGTACAATGCTATTTCAATATCGTAAATTGTTACAGATTATGGAGAAAGGGATGTGTCATAATATATAGTCTAGATTTTTGAGTTAAAAGGAGTTGTCTTAAATGAAGAGATTGAGTGAAGACTTTAAGTTGAGTGTGATTGTAATCAAGTTCAATAAAAATTTTAGTTTGAGCTTTTTAGTCTCCTCTTATGCTTCTTTTGTAGGTTTCACTTGTTGTTTTAAAATCTTCACTAGTTTCTACTAATTGTAATTACTTTAACACTTTAAATTCGACTTTTCCAATGTGTTTGTGATATGATTTAAGAGTTAAACCCTGTACATTATCTTGTAAAATTTTTCATTGTTTCGTAGAAGAAACAAATAATGAATATGTGTTGTATTACTCCGAAAAATGGCATAACCTTGAGACAAAAGTTAACCATATCGCAAAGTACTAGATTTAGATTATGACAACCACATGATGTATAAAATTCTCTAGAATTTATATTTAGAAGTCTTTTTTGTACCCCTTGATGTTTTTCCTTTCTTATTAAATCTATTATCATACTCTTGTCCTCGTATATCATCAATATCAAGTTTGAAGTTTCTTATTGTATATATGATTTTGTCTAAAAGATCTTTTCCACTTGTATTATCTACTTTGAGAAACTCTAAAAAGTATTCTTCTATTTTTATGAACTTGTTAAGATATCTACACAACGTAATATGAGAGACATTTGATCTTGATGACTTACATCCGGAGTACAATTAAGTATAATTCCATAATATTTTACTTCTTTAATTTTCTTAATAATATTATTTCTAATTTCAGTTCCTAATAGACATATCAATTTATTTTATATCTTATGTCTAAGATAACGATTATGAATTTAATCATGTTGAATGCGTCGAATGTGTTCTTACATAACTGAATCAAATTCTGCTATCATTTCAATCATACTTAAAAAATTTTTATTATTTTTTTGATATATCTTTTCATTTTTTTTCCCGAAATGCCAAATTATTTTTACCAAGATTCTTTACAACCACATCACTAATACGTTTTTCCAATATTTTTTCTCTTTGTTAATTTGTTCTGAGATGGTTTTATCAATTGTTTCACTTTTAACAATCTTGTTTCTAAATCAATCCAAGTATTCATTTCAGTAATATGTTCATTAGTTGTTTTATGACTATTAAGTTTAACACTAATATTTCTCCAATCATTAGTACCTTCATTAGTTAGCTTACTTGTACAATGATTCTTATCAAACAACTTACAACAAAAATAAAATACACTATCCAAATCTTTTGAATATACTAGTCATCTTCTATCATGTGTCTCCCCACTTGCTAATTTACGAATACAGTGTATAGTAAAAAGATGTCTAAAAAGCTCGTCTTTTGGGAAAATCTGAATCATTATTTCGAGTAAGACCTTTTTCTACTAATAAGTCTTTTAGTTTTGTATCAATAATTTTCCATTGACTTGGATCATAAATATTCATAGCATTAAAATTACTTGTTTCAGTAAGATTTTCATGGTCAAATTTTTTTGTTTGTTCTTCATCATCTATTGTCATATTACGTGTTTGACTAGAATTGCATATATTTTCATTATCATCTTTTTGTTGTATTATATTATCATCTTCTAATTAAATTGGGAGTAATTATTAGTTAATTTACTAAATTTTCACCTATATTTTTTGTTACATTTTTGTTGTTACTAGTAAAAAATTTATTAAGAGATCTTTTTTGAGATTCCGTTAATTCATCTTTTTTTTTTTTGAGCTTTTCATATCCACCCGGTTGTTTTCTACTTGTCATACTATCAAATATTAACTAAACAATCACAAATAATAAAATAATCACACACAATCTATATTTAAAAAAAATATAATAAGAACTTTAAATAAAAAAATTCAAAGCATAGAATAATAACACCTACTTTGTTATTTTCAATTTTTTCGCAAAATTTGATTATCACCCTAACAACAAATTATGCTCGAAGCCAAAACAACCCAACCTTGAAATACAGAAACAACCTCAATAGGCACAACCCGGTGCCTCAGCCAACAAAGAATAATGTCAAACAAAGTGAAGTCACAAAGACAAAATTTACCTTGGAGAGAGGAGAGAGAGGTCCCCCAGCCTTTGGTGGCTAGAGAGAGAGAGAGAGTCTGTTATACCTCTTCGCCTTTCTAGATTATTTTAGTAAGGGGAGAGAGAGAGAGGAAAGAGGAGAGAGAAAGATAAGGATAAGAAGTGAGTGGTTAGAAGAATATGTTGATAATTGTGATATAAAAATACTAGCAATTACCCGTGCCTAAAGGCACAGTGTTACTCGTAAAATTAGTTATAAATATTTGCCCATATATAAATGTAAAATAAATACAACATTGTAGTAAACGGTGAACATAATGAGTCCGCTAATATTCTTTATAACATCAACCTACATGCATAGTATATATTTCCACATTAAATTGTTAAGCCACAAAAATTATGTTATAACTACTGAAATATAATAATCTAAACATCTAAAAAAATACATCAGTTGACAATATTCAATATTCTGTTTTTGATTCAAAATTCACGATTTTAACATTCATAATCAGCTTTATCTAAATAATAACAGAATTCATTACTAATAGAATGAAAATTAAAACAATACTCCCACAAATAAACTAAGTCTACAGATGTTGTCAAATGACCAAATATAACTATCAGAAATTCAACTGACTGCCAAAAGATACGACTTGACTATTGAATTTCTATGATTCAAGTTTATAGTAGTGTTTTTAATTTTATATCATTTTTATCGGTTATTTATATTCTTACTATATTTTTTTAAACTAAACGTAATTAGTATTTGATTATTTAGTAAAGATTGTTACTTCATGTTGTTCACTAAAAATTGAATTTGTATAATTCGTGTTCATAATATTGCTTGTAATTTTATATCGTTTCTCTCGTTTGTAATTTTATATCATTTTTTTGGTTATTTAGATTTGGATCATTTAGTAAATATTGTTATTTTGTGTTGTTCACTGAATATTGAATTTGTATGATTCGTGTTTGTATATAAATTGAATCTTGTATATTTTCAATGTTAAGCATATTTTTTTTTAATATATCTCTTGATATCTAAGTTGCCAAATAACTTGAATTTAATTTTGTATATTTTACATGCTAAGTATATTTTCTTTGTTAAATTAGATTTTTTTCAAGTTATGCTTTTTTTTTTTATTGATTATGGAAAAAATAAAATTGACTATTGAATTTGTATGATTCATGTTTGTAGTATTGCTTGAATGAAAGAGAGAGATACATAAAAATATTTTCGTGATGTATACTATCTATTTAATATTTATTACATAATTTTCCTTCAGAGAGATACAAAAAAATATTTTCGTACTATACTATCTCTCTCTGTGATATATACTATCTATTTACAAAAAGATGTAGTATTTGTTTGAATCAGATACTATTTAATATTTTCATGAGATACAGAGAAAAATATTGTGAAAAATTGATACTTTTTTGCATGAATTGAGCGTGAAAGAAAGAGATACAGAGGAATGAGAGAGAGAAAGAAAGAGAGAGAGAGAGATTTGTTTGATTTAAGGAAGGGATTTGGGGAAATTAAATTTTGGAATATCAATTTTGAAAATTATAAATTTTGATTAACAAAAATATTTCAAAAGAGTTAATATGGTACGTTAGAGCAAAACGATTTGAGACGTTAATAGTTCGAGACAGTTTGAGATAATATCATCCGTTAGATGATGCTTTTTTTGGTCACAAAATAATTTAGATCACTCTTTGTCTCCAAAATTTAAATTCGTTCTACTTTATTATGTAGATCTCTTGAGTTGACAACTGTACATTACTTTTACCGATATATTTTTTTTAATAATTGTTTTGGTACATAGGCTAAATAAATAAACCCAAACTCTCTAATTTAAATTTAATTGTAACTTTTTTGTTGGGTTTCAATTTTTATAAAATTAAAAATTTATTTTGGGCTAATTGTCAAAATTATAAACTATGGTCCTAAAGCCCATGTTTTGCTGGCCTTACAATAGGGCCGGCTTGCTGAGAATCATTCATTGTTCTTGAAATCTCCCTTGGTCATTGTTTGT